AAAGAGGCCAGTTACGGTACCCCTCCTGACCAACTGCACGCACGCAATGTGCGTGCCCATCAATAACCATTAACGACCGGCTCAACTGGTTCGCTGTCGGGTTTGCGGTCAATGGACCAGGTGCCAAATGTGCTCTCGCGCAGAGTGGGCGGTGGGATAAAGCCCCAAGAACCTAGAGGGCTCTGGAACTAAATCCCCATAGCACGGCTACCTACTTGCAGGATAAAATCCCGCAAGTTATAAGCTACCCCCTAAGCAGCCCCAGGAACCTCGGACTATCTGTGTATGTGTGTCTTGCTAGCTACTAATGTAAACTAACATGCATACACGCAGCGTACCTTGAGTAACGTGGCGTTCCGCGGCTTCCGTTTTGAAAATGGGGGCAAAATGAAAATTTGAACTGTGCATTTTAAGTACGATGTGTAGACCACATATAATATGTACACCACATATTGCAATTTTAGCGAATCGAGGCCGCCTTCGCTGCGCTCGGCAGCCAGTAGAACGCCCGCATTTGCGTTACATGAATTAACCCTAGCCGCGGACGGACGTACGGACGGACAGACAACACACTCCACTAGGGGGGTAAGACTAGCCGTTCGCCGCCGCTACGCGGCGGAGTGGCATGGTTTGTTGGAGATGAGGTGGCCGCAACTTTAGTGCTTCTTGGTGTCGCGTACTTTGTGAGCGTCGCTCACCCCAGTAGGTCTTGGCTTCGTGTATTTAGCCACTTACCATTCCGTAGTCTCATGTGGACCCGTATAATAGCGTGGTTTGGTACCCCGTACTACAGGTTGGATGTTATGTTCTTCAGTGGCCGGCGCTCTTTCCTGCTCATCCCGGCTTCGTGGTTCCTGCTCATCCAGGGCTCACGCTGTTCAGCGGCTATGACCTCTCTCTTGTGGGTTCATGCGCTTTAGTACGGCCTTTTCGTAAATGCTAACTTTTCTCTGTTCTCAAACGTTTATGTGGGTTGCGCTGGCTTCGTGGTAGATACTATTTCGTGGTCGTTGGCCTTCCATCGCCGGTGCTTTAGCCGAAGTGTGCTATTCCGTGGTTTGGTGACTGCATGCAGTCGTGTTGCTCCGTCGCCCGTGTATCGTGCTCTCCAGGTGAGGCTCCATCGACCGCGCTATCACGATATCGTGCAATCGCGGTGTGGTTTTGCTGTATATGGTATTGTGCCCGCGTAGTGCATCTGCGCTGCCCGCGTTATTGTGTTCTACAATGGCATCGTGCTCCACGGTGTACAATCGTCACCCCAAGCCCCCCCCGTGTAATTTGTGGCTGGGCCACCGTCCGTGCAGTTGAGTTCTAATGTACTTCTGTCCTCCGTGGCTCGGTAAGCTCAGGTTCAACACTGGTATCGATCTCCGCGGCTCGACGATTTTCTGACTATAGCTCCGCGGCTGCGTTCTCCCATGGCATAGTGGCCCAGACCATACTATCTAGTTATCTTGTGGTGTCCCGGTAGATCTGCCGTTTGTGCTTCGTATTTTACCGTGCTTCGTGGTCTACGTGTTGTATCGTAGGTGATTTCCGTGCTCTGTAGCAGCTACGTGCTCTAGCCCGGTTTTAGGTAGAGAGTCAAACAGAGTCCGTGACTCTTAGTGCTTTCATAGATTTACATGCTAATTGCATCGGCCCGCTTCCGTGCTTTGTAGCTCTGTGTCCATATTTGTTTCCCCTCCATCGTACATACTGTTTCGTACTGCCCTACAAATCCAGTTCGATAAGCTCGCACCTTCTCCTAGGCTCACGCCCTGTCCTAAGCTCCCATACAACGCACCTAAACACGAAAGTAATTGTGACCAATGGAAAACATTTATTTTTAGCCAATCAGTTTTTCTGGTGGTTACGCGGATGTTTGTTGCGCTGGCGAGGTTTCCAGCGACGACGGCGGCGATTAATGCGCTCCTGGACAACGCGCCGCGGCGGTTGTGGGGGGCCCATAGCGGCGGCAACTAAGGCCAGGCTTTGTTGGCGCGAATCAGTGGCTGGCTTCGGTTCTGGTGTGCGTGGGCGGTGCTAAAACGCCTGGCTGTATGGACCAGAGGCGCACGCGATGCACCTGCGGGCACCCGCTCGAACCTCGCCCTGTGCGAATGCATCCCATGCTAAGAATTGTTCGCAACAGGCGCACAGCCGGAGCTGCAGCCCTAGACCGTCTGGCTCGAGCGGGGGGTGCACAATGACCGCCTGGCACGTCGAGCACATGGGAGGTAAACGCTCCATTGGAGAAATGTTTTATTAGAAACATTTTTATCTAATTAGTAATATTATTTTTTAAGTATTAAACTAAGTATTTCGAAGTATTGAATTACTACTTTGCTAAAATGCGATCCAGTGGTGTCGCCAGGGCCTAAAAAAAATCAACAGCGCCTACGACGATATAATAGTACCGGTGTGCACGTCGGCGAAGCCTACCAATGCAAATTAACCCGCACACACGCAGCGCCCTTTGCGTGAGGTGGCGCTCCAGCGTTAAAAATGGGGGCAAAATGAAATTTGAACGGTGCAGTTAAGTACGATGTGTTGACCACATACAGTGTGTACACCACATATTGCAATTTTAGCGAATCGAGGCCGCCTTCGCTGCGCTCGGCAGCCAGTAGAGCGCGCGTATTAGCGTGAGGATTATTAACCCTAGCCCGTTACGGACGGACTGACGGACGGACAGACAGCACACTCCACTAGGGGGGTAAGATTATATTGACATATTATGTCAACGATCGCTACAGTGTGCAACGATAAACAATGTAGCTTGTACTTCGAAGTACAACGAGTACCGTATACTACGTAGTAACTAGCAATGAAACTTACACACCATTACAGAATTATATAGACCGAGCAAAGCAAGCGTAACTCGCAGTTCACAAATCTGGAATGAGAGTTGCGCTTCAAGCGCTGACTGTATCGTGGACAATACTGTACGGTGCACATTATTATTTACAGACGACTATATATCCGCAATAGACCGGTGCAATGTAAATACTTATGCTTGGGGCTGCATTCAAGAGGAAACATATATTGTTTGAGTTTTGATGAGACTTTCTGATGTACTAATAGTACAGTTTTGTACCGGTACTGTGTTTAGTAACGTCTTTGTTGAATCGTAAGCAGGTGGTGTCTACGATTCTATCTTGACGTTTGACTTACAGTGATATATACACTAGCCGACTGCGTCCTCAGCACCCCCATTTCCTCCAATCGTCTCCGCCTCACCTGGCCCGAGAAGGTAGCCATCCTCGAGAAGGCTGCTCGCCCCACCTAAAACCAACCCGTGCAAAAAGGAGCTAACTGAAATGGAATCTCCTAAGCGCAGAACCCTCCGCCAACCGTAACAGCGTCGCACCCAGCTAAACTGTAACTGCCTCCTGGTTGCGCATGTCTCGCCATGTTCTCAAAGACTCAGACGCTCTCCACACATATCACGAACACATCTGCTGGGAATCTCACTCTCGTTCTCCATCCAAGATCGCAATACTCTCCAATTATCTCTCAACTCAATCATATATGCACATCATCTCTTTCTTAATTTATATCAGGCGTTCCTTATTCAGGCAGATTTCTGTACTGTGTTTAGTAACGTGTGTTTAGTAACGTGTATGTTGAATCGTAAGCAGGTGGGAATCGTGCTCACGATTCAACATAGACGTGCGCAGACAAATGCCGTGTAAGCAGCTCGAATTCCACGTTGGCAGTACGTGATCACTGGTTTCGCCTTGTCAAGATGGAAAATGTCCATGAACACCTTGTCGAGCTCTTCCTTGGTCTTGAACTTTCCGTTCTGAGTGAAATCCACGCCTTCCATCCAATTAAAGTTCACAGCTCCGGGGACGTGACCAGTCCGTGCGTTGCCGTTGGCATCCTCTCCCCAGTACTCGCCAGGGGATCTGGCGTCCACAAACTGCGTGGAGGGATCAGCGATCCCTTTCTGCACAGCTTTAAAGCCGACAAGCTTCTTAGTGTCCACAGGTTGCATCCAGAGATCTGAGGGCGTTTCCCGGGCTTCAGGTTCTCCTGTCTCTACTGTGTTATCGTCAGAAACCCACTCTTTGACACCTCCGTCCAGCACCTTAAGTTGCTCGAGTGGGAAGCCATAGTGACGGAAGACCCACCACATGCGCGTGGCCTTGAGACTCATTTCGTCGTCATAGAACACGAGCGTCGCGTGTTTGGGGACTCTCAGCTCCTTCACCACGTCTGCAAATAGTTGTGAGCTCACGACGCCCGTGGACTGCGGCGTCGGGTCCTTGAAAAAAGATGATGCCAATGTGAGGGGAAGAGCGTCGGGGATGTGGCCACGGGGATACGAGGCTGGGTGGTTGCAGTCAAGAAGCAGCAGCTCCGTGTTACCAGTCTCCTGAGTGTTGCGCACCCATTTTGAGTCGACTAGAGCTGAAAAGGATCGATTTGATGCAGCGAAGCGGCGCACAAGCTGAGAACGAGCATGCAGCAACAGCAGCATAGTGTGATAAATGGACAAGTGGAATGATAAAACGTGTCAATTACAGTTAATTTGGACAGAGCCACATATTATACTACTTTTCCTTTAATACAAACTAGTACTACTTCATAGTACTGTGTTTATTAGGTCCTGAAAAACTATTGGTAAATAGTGTTTTTAAAAACAATTTTCATGAAACGACGAGTTTTGTGACTTCCACCTACTTCAAGAAATATCTAAATATTATCGCTCTAATAGTATTGTGCACCACTAGTAGTAGTACAATTTGTATTTTTACACACAATATGGATAAAAAAATTAAACCTTTTTACCTAAAGCGAAGCGTAATTCACTCATGAAGCGCACATTATTATAGTGCTGAGTGGTTAATCATACAAATAATTGCACACGCTTGGGCGTGGTGGGCAAATGAGTACGTGCATTTTGACCTAGGTCGTTCGGCCCAAAACACCCGCACGTAGTTCGAGTGTGGTCCATTATGTCATTCACAAAGCTGTTTAGAGTGTTCATTTGAGGGGGCGGGTATTATTCATAACCTTTCATTGATATGGAATGGGCATTGCATCTCACTACATGTAGTTATCCTTGTAGCAATGTGTTGCCGTATCTGTCGCGCTACCACGTCTACGCTGGGGTGCCGTAACATCGTTAGATGCGTGCAGTCTGAAATGGTAGATACAGCTGTGATATCAATTCCAAGTGCTCGATACAGCGAGATGTCTGCGCTCCACCGCTGCGTCATGTACAAGTCAGCTTGGAGCCACACTGGCGGCTGTGAACTGGAACACGCAGTCTCCACTTCCGCCGTTGTGTACGGCTGGTACATCTCTTCCATGGCGCAAAAGTGGATATAGTTGTCTCCTAATGGACGTAGCAGGGCGTCTCCGAATGCTTCATTCGTATACTGTTCAATGCGAAGTCGAGTCGCAGTCGCTTCCTCCTCGGTAACTTGCTTGGAGCTCGGCATCTCGAATGGTAGGCCGTCCAGCAGAATAAGAGGCACAAGTTCGTGTCCCTCTCTCACCGCTAAGCGTGCTACTTCGTGGGCTACACGGCAGCCGAACGAGAAGCCTCCGAGAGCATACGGACCTGCGTTCTGACGAGTATGGATACTATTCCAGTAGAATTTAGCGAGTTCTTCAAGACTAGAAAACTGCGAGTTGGTTGCTTGAACTCCGACGACCGCAAGCGGCAATTGTCGAGCTAGTTCCAGCAGGTTCCAGACAGTCCCGTCAGCGTCATGAAACAGGAAAACTGTGCGTGTATTCTTCGCTGTGGGCCAGTTAGGTGGCACTAGCGTCTCCGATGTCCACTGACGTAAATCCACCATCGAAGCTGCACAGCGATGACGTGCGGAAGAACTGCTCAAGGGCTAAGGAGAGTCCCCGTGCTTGCGCAAGAGCAATCGCTCGGATAGCCGCCAGCGAATCGCCACCCAGTTCGAAGAAAGACTTGGACATTAAGTTCGCTTCGAGTTTGTCGTCCATGTCTTGGTCACCATCCACAGGCTGGAGCTCTAGAGCCTGCATCCACACCTGCCGTAAAATGTCCGTAGCTAACTGTACTGTAATAGTAGACTCTTTCTTTTGTTCTCCAGGACGAGAGTCTGTCGAGTTTGAGCCAGCCCAACTTGCGAGCGTTCGAAGATCGATCTTCCCGTTTGGTGTGCGTGGCCAGCTACTGACAACTTGAATCGACTGAGGCACCATGTGAAGTGGAAGGTGCTGGTCAAGATACGCGCGTAACTCGGTTAAATAACCGTCTCGGACCGATAATTCGTCGATACTCTCAGCTGGCATGACGAAAGCTACGAGCGTCGACGACATTTGCTGTTGCTTCTGACCGGGCGAGGTCAACTGAGGAACTGAGAGCACCTCAGCTGCCTTGATGCTTGAAGAGCGCAGTAGAATGTTGCGCACTTCTTGTAGCTCGACTCGCATCCCATGAAGCTTCACTTGGGCATCTGTGCGTCCGAGAAACACCAACTCGCCACTAGGTAGCCATTTCACCAAATCCCCAGTTTTGTACCATCTTCGTGTTCGCTTCTGAGCTAGTGACGCGATTTCTTCGAGTTTTTTGTGAAGAACGAACGAGTTCTCGGTGAGTTCTGGACGACGCCAATAGCCACGAGCCACCCCTGCTCCACCAATGTACAACTCACCAGGGACGTTCACTGGAACGAGTCTTCTCTGAGCATCCAGCACTACCACCGGATGCTCGTCTATCGGTTTTCCGATGGGTACACTATGAAGTCCTTGAAAAAGACTTGACTCGTTCTGCATCGCCAGTTCTCGAGGCATCCGAAAAGCTGTCGAAGTTATCGACGCCTCAGTGGGTCCGTATTCATTGACAAGACACGTAGAACAGGCCGGGTGTTTCTTGTAGAATTGACGTGCAAGTTCAATGGGAAAAGCCTCACCCGCCAGTATAACGTGCTTGATGGAAGCTGGAAAAGTATCACCGTTTTCACTCATATAGTCCACGATCAGCGAGAAATATGACGGCACAAATACACAAAACGAGATGTGAGGAGCTTCCAGCAGCACATTTCGCATGTACTGCAGATCGTGGAGCCCCTTTGGACGAGTGATTCGTGCGCTTCCGCCAACGAGTAAAGGCGAAAAAAGTTGAGATAACGAGCCGTCCAGAGTCGTCGATGTGCTCTGGAGGAAAACGTCACTTGACGTCACTTCATACGTGCGTACTGTCCACCAAAGAGTTGTCATCAAAGCAGCGTGAGGCACCACAACGCCCTTCGGATTACCTGTCGACTAATATTTATGGTTAGTAAAAGAAAGGATCACAATAAGAAAAAAATACCGTACCCCAGAGGTGTAGAGGATGTAAGCAGTTGCTGTATCGGGGTCTAGCTTCTGTCTCTTCAGAAGCCTCGATTCGCTGTCAAACTCGTCATCTCTTGCACATCCATCGCTAGACGAGGTTAGACGATCTACATCTTCGTAGTTTAAAACTCGTGGGGCAAGTTCTTCCTCTGACTCTCGTGACGACACAAACGCAGCGATCTCTGCGTGTTTCCGTTGCGTGATGATCACTTGAAGTTCGCTATCACGAGTCATATAACGCAGACGCTCACGAGGAAACTCGGGGTCAAGCGGCACAAAAACTGCCCCCAACCGCAATATTCCGATCATGGCTGCAACATTTTCCACTCCTCGATCCAAGAGCAGACCGATATGAAGCTCAGCGGAACAACCAGAGATATCCAGCATGCACAAGGCTCTGGTGACGCGGCAGCTGTACTTCCACAAGTCCTGGTATGTCCACTGCGTGCCCTCAAAGTGAAGGGCTGGATGATCCGGGGTTTTCCACACTTGAGCAAGCAAACATTCGTCTAGAAACTCTGAAGGCGGTCTAAGTAAAGCTGGAGGCCTTGGCATACCCCATACAGAGACAAGCTGCTCTCGTTCGGACCTGGAGAGCATGGAAATGGCTGGAGATCTCACTAAAGCAGTAGGAGAGCTCGTCACTTGTTCCATTAATGCCAGATAATATCTCGAGAACCGTTCGACCGTCGATCGCATAAATCGAGCCGTGGGGTACTCTAAGGACCCCTCTAACACGCGCTCTGTACCTCCGTTAAGGCGACGATATCTCATGGACAACATGAGGTCGAATTTGGCAGACTGATGTGGTAATTCCAGCTCCGTGTACTTGGTACTCGACGTATCCTCACTTTGTTCCCAAGAAAACATAACCTGGAAAAGTGGATGTTGCCATCGTCGTTCAATGTCGTCGTTGCTGTGAGCTGAAGCACGTAGGTGTTCCAGAACCTTGTGGAAAGGAATCTCCATGTTGTTGTAGGCGCCCAGCACAACTTTGCGAGCATTTTTCAAGAAACTCTTGAAATCTTCATCTCCTGCGAATTTTCCGCCGAGACGCAGCGGTAGAGTGTTAACGAAGTATCCCATGATGTCCTGCAACTCAGCAGCGTCTCGTCCGGACGAGGGAGCACCGATCACAAAGTCTTGTTGACCAGATAAACGCTCCACTAGCAAGTAGAAGACAGCGAGGAGACCCATGAAGATACTCGAGCTCTGGGAATGACAGAGATCTGAGAAAGCTTTTTGCAAAGCAGATGATGACCTGAACACGACGACGTCACCTTTTGCTGTGGTCGCTTCTGGTACGGTGGACTCTTGACCGTCAGGTGTGTGAGGGTCCTCCTTGTCAAAGGGAAGCTTAAGTAACAGAGGCACCCCACCTTCTGTAAGTTGCTGTGTCCAATACTGTAACAACGGCGCAGCCACACCGGATCGCATTCGTGAGCGTTGCCAAACTGCAAAGTCTCGGTACGTCAAGTGAGAGGCACTAGATGTCTTCGTCTCCATGTTCTGCACGATCCCTTGTATTGTAACGTGATCATCGTGCAAAAAACGCTCATAGCGTTCAAGAAAATCGCTCCAGAAAAGCTGACTGGAGGCTGCATCCGTGACGATATGGTGCAATACTACTGCAAGGATCCATTGCGAGGTGGATTCCTGCTCAGAGCACGTAATTGCATACACCCGAAGCGGTGCATGTCGTGCCAAATCAAACGGTTCGTCAATGGTTTTTGCCACAAAAGAGGCAAGTTCCGCGTCTTGCAAAAGCCCCTCACTACACCTACATGTATACTTCAACAATTCAGTCTGTATGACTCTAACGACTCCCAATTCATCTCGAAAATGTGACAGCGGATACACAAACTGCCGCGGTTGCCCTCCACTATTCGTGTCAACATCAAAGCACGTACGCAGCATCTCGTGCTTGGCCATCAACGCATCACAAGTTCCCTGCAACGCAGCGAAATCCAAAGGCAAATCACTGAGCAGCAATGCCCGCACCACATTGTATGTCGTGCTGGATGGCTGTAAACGTTGCAACGCGAACATCTGCAGCTGTGGATACGACAATTCGCAGCTCAAAGCTCCTGTCCTCACGGCCAATCCAGGACGCAACTTGAGCCCTGTCTCTTCTGGGTGTTTGTCATAGTCGTCGAGCATTTGTGCCACCGCATTCTGTAGTGTTTTCAGTCGCCGAACTCTCGAGCTCTTCAGAGTTTTGTTGTGGTGCGTCGGTGGACCTCCAGTCCGCGAGAGCAGCAAAAGTTGCAGCCAATGCACTGCCACGTCCACTTGCTCGGCGTCCAGAGCTTGCGTTAAAGCCGCCACATCCGTCGCCTCAGTCTGACTATTGGTCAAGCTCTTGTCGCGTAAAATGTCGATCCTTGCGCTCTCATCCGCTTCGTGCATGGCTGAAGACGCAGTTAGATGAGCGGTGCTGCGGCAGTTGAAAAACCGTTTCGAACACGGCGTTTTTCAGCCAATCGGGTGGCGTGGTGCAGTTTATGTCCTTTCCTGTGTGGTTTTCTTCCGTAAATACTGTAATTTCGACCAAATTTGGGGCGATTTCGTCAAAAGATCATCTCTCACGCTGCCCAAAATGTGCCGGACGATGTTGCTACCACCGAATTTAGATGGACATTAATTGGCTTTCTTCGGTAGTGCTGTACTGGTTATAATCTGGTGCAAACATATGGGAAAAGGTTACCCATCAAAGACGGTAATTAATGTTTATCTTCGGTTTGGTGTGAGAAATATACACCACAAAGGCCCAATCTTTGTGGTTCAAGTCTATATATAGAAGTTGTGCGACTTAGCATTTTTTCGATGCATGTACGCGTGGGACCAAATGTAGAACCAAACAAAAGTAGAGTTGTGTATATTTTTGGTATACAAATGTATATCACAAAATTGTTCAACAGGAAGGAATGAACTTACACGTCAATGACAACGGACTCTCTCTCAATGAAAGCAATTGCTTTGTACAGCAGACGCATGCGCAAATACGGCACAAGATTGTAGACACAATCGTTCCAAATGGCGCCACTTAAAAGCATTTCCAGTATGGCAATGCTCCACACGCCACAGGAGCTGGAATCTTGTTGCGTACACCAGGTAATGCGCTCATAGTGCAGCATGTCTTCAAGACCCAAAATCTTCTCAACCACTGCACGCACACTCGTCTCGATGGTAGTGTAGTTTGCATCGGATTGAAGTGGGTCGAACATGAAACAGATTATCTTCTTCTTGTCCACGAGAAACGCTACCCAGTGTAGATTGAGATTCATAGCACCAATTACACGTTGGTTTTGGGGATTACAAGCACCCGATCCTTTTGCCACACGTTTCTTTTGCTCAGGTAGCGCGAATCCATGGTAACTTGGACTCACAACTCCAACATTGCGATATTCGTCGCGCAACATAAGCAGGTAAACGAGAATCGACGTTGTGTGCAGCCAAAGATTTTCACGCATGTCCAAAATTTGATGTCCAGCTACGAGCTCCCCCGGTACTCGATTCACAGCCAGATTAAGAGCATAAACGCATCGTTTGTGATGGTTCTTCAAATTTAACATAATACAGTTTTTCTGTTAGTATTCGGTGTACCTTCGGTTGTGGTACTGTACGAGCATTACCTTCGTTATGTGACTGGTGTCCACGAATGGATAGCGAATGTCTTCAACTTGCCGTTCCACATCGTCGATCCACTTCATCGTACGAGCCACCAACTTGAAGTGATTGCGAGCTTCGATTATACTGGCCATAGCATCCAGCTGGTCCAATGTAGCACTTCCGTAATCTGACCAGTACGCGAGTAGGTTGATATTCTCTGCTGCCTTGATAGCTTCAATGCCTTCAATGACCTTGGTTAACGGAGGAATCTTCGTCACAACTGGGACTTTTTGGCCCACATTAAAGGGTCTGACCGAAACTGGTCCGTGCAGTTCAACACTTGGAATTTCAAGGGCCTCCACCATATCTTTAGCCTGAAATGCGCTGAATGGCCCATCCAGAAGCGCAGCCACCTCATCGAGCTTAACAGTCCTTGTCTTCTTTCCTTGGCGATATTTTGCAGCTAGAGCACGCGCATTTTCCTGGTCTTTCTTGCTCTGAGCCTGCTTTCTCTGAGCTTTTGTCATGCCACTAATCACGGGTCGGTCTGCGAACTCCCATGTTACTGCTTGTGCGGGCCCTAGCGTCGGTCCAGCCTTTGGATTATCTTTCTGTGTAGTTTCGGCTGCATTTGGTGTACGTTTAGTTTCAATTTCTTCACATTCTTTAACAACCGTATCACTTTTGCCTTGAGCTGCAGTATCCTCTACATCGGTCAAGAGTTCGTCATTGTGATGTGGTGGGGGCGAGACCTCAGCAAATGACATCTGGGATAAACGTGCACCAGTGGCCGAAGGCATCTGCGACAGCCCGGGAAAAACTGGAACTCCCTGACTTGAATACTCCACCACACATCCAGTGTTGAGCGCCGTGTAAAAGTCCTCAAGCCACCGCAACGCGACTCGGTACGTCGGAGTCGACTGCAATACCATGCGGTCGATAATTTTGTCAGTGACTTCCTTCGCCTTGCAGTACATGTCGGGGCTGTTCAGTGCCTTCTCCTTGGGGAGTGCAGGACACGTAACTTGCTTCATACCACCAGAAAGCACTTCACCGTCTCCAATGTTATCAACCGAACTGTGGACAATCCATCTTGCGGGGAATGAGCGCATGGGAGGAATCATTGTCTCGAAATTACAAGTACTTCTGACGAACATCACATGACGACACGGTAGTATGCAAGTCTTCATAAAGATACAGTCACACGAATTCGTCTACATAACACACGAGCTAGTTAATTAATCATGTACCAAAAGTACACAGAAAATTACATAACCAACACAGAACACTGTACATACCTGAGTGTCCACTACATGAACTTGGCCGGACCCTGGACTCGTCACCCTCGCCGTTCCTTGAGCTACGACTTCCACCTGGTAATCTGCACCGGGACCCGTCGCTAATGCATGTTGCGAGGCCACTAAATCGAAAGCGAACGTGCTCACGTGCAAAGCCAAAGACGAAAGTTCTGCGTCTTCGTCACACCGGGAAGGCCTGCTCCCAACCTTGTGATATTCCGCGAGATACTGTTCCTCTGCATACTCTTGAAGGGTAATCAGCGTAGATAGAAGCTGGTCGATAGTAAATGAGTCATTTATGACATCTTTGATCTTGCCCCACTTTGACTCAATCCTGTTATTGGTATTGTTTGTCAAGTGGGGGACGTTGCCGCGCTGGTAAGAGACCCACTTCTCTTGACTGTTGTCCCAGTTCTCCATAAATGTCCTGTATAACTGGTGCCTTGTATCGCCACCAAGTTGCTGCAACATTGCTCCACGAGCATCTTCATACTCCTTTATTGAGGTAGCGTAAACCAGAAGCCTCACCAAACTTTTCATTTCCTTCTTCACGGCGGGTGCCAACCTGGTGACCTGTTTCTTCAACCATGTAATCACGTGCCACTGGCAGAGCAACTGGCGGGCGTCAGGAAACATCTCCTGTAGTACTTCCTTCTCATGGACAGCTTTGTCGGTCATAATCACGCGTATCTTCGTCCATTCGGGATTGTTGGCTTTGAAAATCTCCACTACGCGCCGCAAATTGACTTTGTGCTCACTTTCTACAAGAGCATGGTGTACGTATTGGCCCTAATGGACGTGTTAGATTAATAACTAATGAATAAATCATCTAGCTTTACACGCATACCTTTCCGAATACATCGTGAGCTACAAAGCTGAATAACTTGTACCGATTGACGTTCGTGCTATGAGTGGAATCGACCATGACGACCTCAGGAAAAGCCTTGAACAATCTTTTCATCTTTGCGGTGTGGAACGTGGCGACACGAGCAACGTCTGTCTCACAGTCGACCAAAACGTCAGCAGAGTTTCCGCCGTTTTGCCTATCAAACTCGTCCAGGACTGCAAACGCCCTCTGAGCATCGTTAAGCCCCGCCTGCTCCTTCATCTTATGCCGCTGCACCGTATTATGAACGTCACGGAGAGTAGTTCTCTTGCCTATGCTATAACACCAAAGAAAAACAGAAAAATATCATTAACCGAAAACATACCAAACAAGTGATGGTATGTACCTGTGCGCTCCCGTAAGTACTTCAGGATTCCCTGAGCACTAGCTCCTGCCTTGCGAAGTACTTCGACATCATTCGTCAGCCGCGGGTCCTTGACAATCCTGTTCTCTGCGTAGTTCTCCCAAATGCGCTTGTTCAAGTTGTGGTTGTGATTCCCCGACGTGGTTACCCTCACGTACCACGTACCACTAATGCTGGAAGTCACCCGCGCGTTCACTCTCGCCGTGCACTTCGTATCACGAACCGAATTGTGTTTTCTGGATCCTTTGCCGCGGGGCTCATACGGCTGACCATGGGTGCACACGAGCGTCTCCGAGTAAGTTTCCCACTGCTTGGGAGCCAAACGAACATCTTTCCGCTTCCTCTTTCCGGCCGCCATGGTCTTCTTCGCAGCCCGAAGTATCTGCTTGCTCCGTACCTTGACAGACGTGCTTGTCCGCTTGGAAAATTGCTGGAAAGACTGGACTTGGTGGGCGTCAAAAGCAGCGTGGAACTCCTCCCAGGTATTAAACATCTTGGTACCTGGTTGGAAGAATGAATCACCAGCGTCTTGTTTCTTCTTAGTAAACGTTTGGTGTACATTCGGTGATAAATTCGGTTTGTCTTCGGTATCACTTGAATCATCACTTGAATCATCATTTGCGTCCAAAACGTCTCCACCATCGCCTTCACTTTCGACTTGGGTGGTACCACTGGCGGCACCATCGCCGCGATCTCCATCATTCTCGGCCAATAATCCTTCAGATCCCCCTTCCGCTGCATCACTTTCGCCACTCTCCCCTTTGGTCTTGTCGTCTTCGTAATCGGAGTCACTGCAAGACACAGACGGTTCGCTATCGACTTGATCAATAGCCTCCAGCGCCTCGTGAAGCGCAGCGTTGTAGTTCCTTGAGTTAGACTTCTTGCGGGACCTTGGCCCTGTCGTCGCTTGCTTTCGGGGGATCTTCAGCTAGCAGCGTAGCAGCGGTACTGCGCGTCACCATCGTCTTCCCCTCGGCCACGAGACGTGCCGCTTGCTTTTGAAGCTTTATTCGCATGAGTGTTTCAGTATGATACGCCGCGCGATCATTGCTGCCTCGGTCGTGAATTGGAGACGGGGGCAGTTTCTTCAAAGCTGCTAGCGTATCATCCCATTCCTTTCGCTTTTTGTCACGAATCCGGATGCGATCCAGCTCTGCACTATCCCGCAGCGTGCGGTCCACACGCCCGTAGCCTGGATACGGTGGAGAATTTGAACTGTCGCCCTGTTAACATCATAGCAGAGTGTGAC